AGTGAGTCCAACGAGATGCAGACACACACGTGTATATAGTCCACCTCTCCCCACCATATATACGAATAAACAAAGAATACATAGGTATATGTTTATAAAGAAATGACCATTTTAAGTAGTGATAAATGCCAAGGAGAAAAATGCAGGATAACGTGATAGAATGTCATGGTAACTACTCAAGCTAATCAGACTCCAGAATGGGCTGTCCTGAAGGGTTGACCGTTGAGTTGCAATCTCTGTGATTAATGGGACACAAGGATGCAAAGGTCTGGGAGACATGGAAGAACATTCCAGATGAAACACCTTCGAAGGGGGCGAGAACCAGGCGGGCTGGAGAGACACGGGGGTGTGGCCCAGACGGTGAGGGGTGCCGAGAGGAGATGGGTCCACAGTGCGACGTGATTTCTGCGTCAAAACGAGGTGCTCTGTGGACAATGGGGTGAGGTGGAAGGAGAGTGGAGTCAGCTTCGGAGGCCGGGGGAGAGGGTTACAGCAGCCCCGACTGCTTTGGAGGCCATTGATGTGTAATTGAGAAAACAACAAATTAAAACAATTATACATTTACTCAAGCAATTCCAAGTGTCTAAGTGGATTTGGGAAAACCTAGAGAAACTGTTTTCGTGTTGCGTCTTAATCAGCAAGACGGCTTTGCCCAGGCTTGTCGGCAAAGAGAGCTATATACCCCATAATGACACAGGAAAGCCCAACCTCATAAAAACAAGGTCATTTCGAGACTTAAAGGAGGCAGATTGTTTTTATTTTCAGCTGAGATAAGTTGGGGGGTTCTTGAGAAAAAGAATAACCAGACCGTGGTTCAGCCCTAGCAGATAACTTTCCATAAAACACGTGCCTGACTCCGTCACTGAAAGCTGAGCAAAACACATCAACGTGGATGAATCTCAGAAACGCCGCACTGTGAAATCAGCCTTACACAACAGGGCAATCCTTTGGCATCTCATTAACAGGAAGTCTTGAAAGAGGCAAGTCTGTTCTAAGTGAAAACCGGTCAGAGCCCTGGTTTATGGGGCTGGGTCAGAGGTCGCCTGGGAGGGGCCACGAGGAGCTGACTCGGTCCGTGGTGCTGGTCTGTATCGTGAGTTACACGGGGCTGCGTGATTGTGGAAACTCACAAATGCTACGCTTTGGATGGATTATCTCACGGTCTGCGGATGCTGCCTCGACAACAACTATAAACGAATATTGACCTGGAATGGGTGACATGCCAGAGTGAAGTGTGCCGACATCTGCACCCTCCTTTAAACGGCATCAAAGACAAGATGGGTAGATACGTGACAAAGAGAACAAAGCGAAATGCTCATCTAAGATGTTCGCCACACAGTTCTTTCCGCTTCTCCGTACACGTATGAACCTCCACAATAGAACGTGAGGGAGAACCGCCGAGGGCTTCGTGGGGACGGGGCCTGGCCCTGCTACTCCTGAGTCAGTTGCATTTGTCTTCAGATTTGCAGGAGATGGAGCAGATCACACGTGTTTGATGTGGAGCTTGACACAAACGATTTTAATTGTCAAATGTATAACACTAAAGTAACATTAAATTTCTCTTCAAATACATTACTTAAACACCCACTTCTAAACGCACATTTTAATGAGATTCTTAAACTGCAATGTGTTCTTTTTTTTTTTTTTTTTTTTTTTTTTTTTTTTTTTTTTTTTTTTTTTTTTCCTGATCTGATATTCTACTGACACAGTAACTCTACTTAACGCCCACCATCTGAGCAAGCCTGTCTGCAGATCCAGACTCTCCCAGTGCAGACAGTACCTGAGGGCAGGTCTATGTCCATGGACGTCCCCAAACGTCTGTCCGTGCGGCACCTTGTGTTACAGTGCTGTCGCATTTCTCGGTAGCTAACTTTCATTCAGACTTCATCACAGCTCTGGGAGGCGAATGTCATTTTCACCGTGTCTGTACCCGAGGCAGGCGTGGTGCAGAGAGCTTAGAGAAATAGTTCGAAGTCACACGGCGAGGGAGTGGCTCACAGAAACGTTCTCTCAGATGAGTTAAAAAGCTCTTGGTCTTTGCCGTTTCATCTTACGTCTGCCTAACTGGTTTGTGATTTTTATTTTTTAATGATTTTACTGATTCACGGGTCTCACACTTAAATTTTTCTTATTGCTTTATTTCATAACATGAGATATTGGGTATAAAGACAGAACCAAGATCGCACTTGGTTCAATCAAGAAGCCTAGGCCAAGTCATGGCGATCCTCGCTCTGGCTTTCGCTTAGATGTGCTCATCTCCTCTTGGGCATTTGGTGGGGGACAGCCTCAGAAGAAACTGCCTTCTAATGATTTCTTTCGGCATTTTAGTAATTAACCCTGGAATAGGATTCGAGATGGACCCGCCTCAGGCTGCATCAGATGATGTACCAGCCGCTTTCTTCCTCTCAAGAGCAGACATCTTGGGCAGTGGGGCATTTAGGGTGCTCTGCAATTTTTTTTAATTAATTTATTTTTATGGTGACATTGGTTAACGAAATCCAGTAAGTTTCAGCTGTACACTCTAACAGTAAGGCATATATATATTTACACTGTGTGCCCACCTCCCATAGTTAGATTTCTTTCTGTCACCACGTATTTGACCCCTTTTATCCCATTTACCTCCCTGCTCTGCAATATTTTTTTGCCATCATTAAGAAATAAATAACAACATTTTGCATGAAGCTTTTTCTGTATTCAGGTCTATTTCCTCAGATGGGTTTTCCAAAGTGGAGTCATTGTGACGTGGCATTTAAACGTTGGTTTGCACACGTTGTTTGTCAGATTCCCAAAGTGTTTCATGAACGTGGATCTTTTCTTTGTCTGAATTCAAAAGTAATTCATACTATCGTAAACAATGAAGAGTCGTGATGGATGTTCACAGATCAATACTCTCCGTGCTCACTTATCTCTTGGTGAATGAATGAAAGCCTAGATACGGTCTTTTTGAAATTATTTTTTTCTGTAATAAAACAAGCTCAACTTGTTCTGTTTCTGTTTTTCGCTGACACAAGTTACTTTCTCGTTGGTTTCATAGTAAAAAATTCTTCGGTTTGGCCAAGAGAAACTTACAGGCTGATATCTTTGATCATTTAAACTGAAAGCAACCATTGTTGTCCCTGCCCCTCCCCCTCCCCGCCCCCCCCTTCCCAGTAGACCAAAGAGACTCTGCTGAAATGTGCTACAACCTTAAGTCCAGTTGACACTGGTCACCTGGCTGGCAGGAAATGAAGGCCACGACCGATACTCGTGGCTACCTACACAACAGCCAATCAGTCAGGCTGAAATTTAGAGACCGTGGTCTGTCAGCTAGGAAAACAGTTTTTGTGTTAAAGTGTGCCACCTGCAAGGTCACGCAGCATTATCAGAATTTGTACCTGCTTTGGCGGTGGCATCTTTAAGGGCCTCAGAATTGGGAAATCGGCCTGGCCCCATGCGGGGGATCACAGCCAGCTGTGTACGACAGTCCCGACATGAGGCCGCAGTCAGAGCAGCACCCCTCCCGGGCGGAAGCAGCCCAGAGGTATTGGGGTGATCCAGCG